GTTTTACCAAAAGCTCTCTCGCGCACGCGTGTAGGCTCCTTGACTTTGGATTGGTCTACTTGAAATGATCGAAAGTTGTCTCATAGAAACGTAGTGCATTCAGGAACTTCACAACACGACATGCTTCTGTCCATAGATGAACACTTATGAAAAGGATCTTATCTCGTGTGCACTGCACTACTTCGTCACCAAATTAGTGGTTTAGCCGAGGCTAGTGCGGTCGCATAGGCCTTAGAGATCTATAATTTATCTAGTGAGCTTTTTATTATCCAAAAGCCACATTCAGAAGCATGGGAAACTGGGATAATTATCGGGGCCAAAACATCCCGTTATATAGGGAAATGTTCGTGACGTACGGAAAGTTAGCAGCGGATTCGAGTAATCCCTGCTGATATTCGTACCCTACTTGGGTTACCTTTCTAATTACTTGGTGAGATGTAGAAGTAAATTCTGCATCGAATAGTCATATTTTTAATGGGGATCATCGGTCATAAAATGGGGGTTTGGGCTTAAATACTTGGGTTTCAGGCGGTTTTAACAAGTAATCCTTGCTGATATTCGCTCCTCGACCTGGGTTACGTTTCTAATTACTTGGTGAGATGTAGAATTAAATTCTGCATCGAATAGTCATACTTTTAATGGGGATGATCGATTTTATAATGCGAACTTACAATCATACACGCTCGCGTTTGAAGGTGATAAATTTAGTGTAGCTCAATCTTCACGTGGTAGAGAAAAGCCACGAGTCAAATTAGACGATTTAAATGTAAAAGATGAATGGTAACGTCATGCTCGATCGATTTTCTTCTTTTTTCTAAAGTGCATTGGACGATACGATGGAAAATTCAAGTGAGTGATCATTAATTGAATTATGTGATGAATCTGATAGCGGTCCGCTAAAAATTAATTAATAATAACATTAGAATTTTAACCAAAAATCAGAAAAATCAAAAAAATTTTTGAAAAGTCAAAAAAAAAAAAATTTATTAGATAATCTTATCTATAATACGTGTACATACTCGACATTGACTGGCATATTTGTAGGAGAATGTTCTTTTTTTGTTGGGATTGAACTGTCATCGAATGCAATTATCTGTTTATTCATTTTTCCTTTACTAAAGAATACATATGATTGTAACGGCTTTGAAAATATGAAAAAAATCACTTACGATAATTTGCATGCATTTGTTTGACTAAGTTTATCGTTAAAGTAGAATCTACTTTTACCATTTGTTGTATTTGATCGAGCACGACGTTGCCATTCATCTTTTACATTTAAATCATCTAATTTGACTCGTGGCTTTTCTCTATCACATGAAGATTGAGCAATACCAAATTTATCACCTTTGAAACGCGAGCGTGTATGATTGCAAGGTCGCAAATCGTAAGGTCGAAGATTGGTATAATGTTCAAGTACCGATGATTTTATGGTTCGAAAGTATGTCTCGATTGTAGCACTTAAAAGTCGGCCATGTTCAAACTCCCAATCATCCGTTCACACGTTTTTTCTACCTTTAGCATATCTAAATGATAAGCATAGTAATTATTATGAATTTAATAAGAAAAAAATCAGTCATTATGCAAGACCAGAAAGGAATATAAGCAAACCATTTATATAGTAAACGAACAATTTTGGTGAATAAAGAGAATTACTTGGTTCTTTGTGAAGTTCTTCTTGTTGAATGATTTGACGGAGATTTGGAATGTTAGCACATGCTTTGACATTGAATGGTGATTGATGAATAATGGGATTCGTTGTTATATCTGTTTCATCGAGAAAATCTTGTTTCATTGACTTATCATCTTTAACATCGCTTTCTTGCAAATATGGTTCAATATCGAATTCAGACGAATCAGATTTTCTCAAAAGCGAGCACAGCATAATCGTAAAAATGTCATATTACGTAATTGTTTGTGTCATAGACGCGATCAAGTGTATTATAACATCGACGCAAATAAGTGTGAATGTTTTCAATATTAAACGAAGCTAATACGCTGTTAATTAATGCGGCAGAAAAGTCAATAACAACGAAAGCTGGGCGAGCAACTTTGCTGCGTATTGCTATTTTACCGCGAAAAAAATTAAAATAAGAAGTAATCGAGGCGGCTGTATAATCACGTAATAGTGCTCCACTATGCGGCATGATTGGAGAATTTTTATCTTGAAACACCATACAATAAAAGAAGACGTCCTTTTGATGTTTTAGTTGTCGTACAACGGAACCAGTAGCATCAATATGTAACGTTGAATATTTTTCGGTCTTGCAATATTTAACAAATCGATCAAGTTGTACTTCAGTAAAGAAATGAACAGAAAACGGCCATTCATCATTTGTTTGTATATAACCTATATAGAAGTACAATTAAAAAATGATTATCACATTGTTTAGAAGATTTGGACTAATAGAACTAACGTGATAAATGTAGTACAACATCTATATAATAATGTGCATCGCTTCGAAAGTAAATTTTAAAAATAATTTATGAAACATCTAAGGATGTCAATTATTAATAGAATGTAAAAATTCTCACCTTTAATATCTTCAGATTCGTCATCAGTACATCGAGTAAAAAATCCAAACATGCGCAATTCTTTAAAATAATCTTCATAGAGACGATACTTCTTATTATACTGTTGCTTAGCTGTCGTCAGCACATCTATTGACGGTACTTCAGTAAAATTGCTTTCTTTCAGAGGATCTTCATTAGCATATCGTAAATTACGTTCATAAACGCCTAGCGCTCCTATTTTTTGAACTTGTTTCACTAAAATAATTATTTCAATACGAAATTTTAAAAGAAAAAGAATGGCAATATACCCATCGCTTCTCGAACGTCGCCAGTTAATTGACGAGCCATGGTCTCCTCCTTTGAAGGGTGATTTTTATCACCTATAATCACCACCTTAAATAAACATGGACTGGCTTTGTTTTTTGGTTCATCTTCAACTTCTATCGTAACCTTCCACAGGACATTTTTCACCTTTACAATGGCCTCTTCCACTGAACAAATTGCAATTCTTTTTTCGTGAATTTTTTTCTCGAACATGGTGGTATCAAAACACAATAGCGCAAGTCATGCCGAGCCGAATAAAATGTGGAACAAGCTGATTTCCCCAGTTATCATGCACATCACCGGTTTTATGGTTGAAGAAAGCACGCCATTACTCATAATTCATTGCAAAGTGATGTACATAACGAGGAGCTAAAATATCTTTTGATCGCATGGCTTTTGGTACAGTTGAAGGAATTGTTAATAAAGAAGCATTGTTAGGCATCTAAATATACACAAAAAGAATCACATTCAGTTCTAGTTTTCTTAGATTGTAAATATTCATTTGAATGTTTTCTTTCATACGAACTATGCACACGAAATGAGCATTAGTTTTAAAACAAGTTTAATACATTCAGTCTTCGATTCCTAATTCAATTATGCATCTGCATCAGTTATAGAATTACATAACTTCCATTTCAGATTTATTTTTTTGTTAAAAATAATGATGAACAATTTTTCTCGTTGATCATCTTGAATCTACTATTTGAGTAAGGATATGTTTTTTAAAGTATTATTGTCAAATACTATGAGGTTATGAAACGAATTTGAAAAAGATTTATTTTTCCGATAGTAAAATATCAATTTTTGAACAATATAGCTATGTAATTTTCTCTTTATAAGAAAATAAGCAAAATTGCCTTTATTTTCTTGTTTAAAACATCTGCTATATGAAGCAAATATATGTCAATTAACGAACTGTAGAAGCGCTAATTAGTGATGGCTATATGTTTTTTGCAAAGATCTCTTTCGAATAAAGCACACAATAATTATCGCATGTATTCAATTCAGAGAAAAAGAAAAATTTAACAATGAGTTCATATAGGCAACATGAGAATAAATGTCAAAAAACAATAATATATATTTCAGATCGATCAAACATATAGATCTAATCTTGTGTGTCTTATCATTTGATCTTATAAATACTTTTCTTTGAATCTTATGATATCTTATGTCGTCAACTTTTTAATTATGTAATTTATAATTACATTGCTCGTAAGCTTTTCTTTCTCGCAACTATTTTAGATAAATTACAAATACAAACCAGAGAAAAAAAGGCTTACCGTCTCTACATGTAAATGATTGTCTTGTTCATCCTTATCAGATGTTCGACTTAAATTTTCTAGTAGATCATTAACTTGTGTATTGAAGAATGTTGTGCGGACCTTCCGCCGATTTCCTTGCCATGTTGCATAGAGCCACTTTCGAGTTTCATAAGTATCCTTCTTTGGAATTTGTGTTCGTTCTGCCAGTCGACCCCATATGCCATCTGATTTTATATAACCATTACTACCTCCCACATCCAGTTCGCGATAATCCGCTCCCAGTTGTTTGACAGCAGCTAGGAATCATTCGGTTCCACCCACTTGTGTCCAGTAATTGTTTTTTTTTAAAAATTCAATACCGTAATTTAAACAGTTTGAAGTATATTTGCACAATAATCAATTGATTTTCTATAACGCAATATTTCTCCCCAACAAAAAACAAAAAAGATGTGACCAATCATATATCTCGCTTGTTCTCTTTCTCTCTCTCTCTTTTTTAATAGCGATATGGTTGAATGATTATACAAGATCAATCGAAAGGATGAAGAAACAACATCATCAGAAATCCTGGCAGTTATGGTAAAGACAACCATGAAAACAAGTAGAAATGTAACGAAATATGCGATTAATAAAAAATCACTTTTTTTTAAATGAGTTGATTGAAAAATCAAGTTTTTAAATTAAAAAACAATATCATCAATATTATTTACCCATGAAATAATTTTGATATTCTAAAGCGCGTTAGCAGGCGTTAAATAAAAGAAAAATTTAATGCGTGCACACTAGCTAAATACTGTTGAATGCGTGCAAATGCGTTATTTTTCAAACATATATGGGACTGGAAATTAATTCTAACGCACTCAAACGCGCTTTTACAAGAAAAATATGAAAACGACGTTCAAACTCGTTAATTACAAAAATTTTATAACCCTAACGCGTTACGTAAGTGGCTTAACGCGTTAGAACCGCGTTAAATGTTTCATATTCAGTGATTCTAACGAGTTATATTAGTAGTGCGTGACAACGCCTCAATAATCGTAAATCGTTCAAACTCGTTAAAAATTGAACAAGTTAGCTTCTTGGATGCGTTTACACTCGTTAGAATAATACTTCGGATCAATGTAATTTTAACGCGTTATAGTGCGTGTATAGTGTGTT